TTTCTTTCTTGCTTTATTCCTTTATTCTTTTCTTTTTTTCTTTCTTGTGAGCAATAATACTGTTGTAAGCATTGTTGTATAGTCTGCCGTTGTTGCTTTTTTAAAAAATTCTTTCGACACAGAGGAAAAAACATTTAGTCATTGTATAACTATGGTATTTTAATAACACTCTCCTACCTGTCCACATTTACATACATATATTTTTAATTCACTTACATGCTGACAGGATAATTTTACAGCTGAATGTTCTGAGCTAAAATTCATTTTCTATTATTTAAATGACATGTATGAAACTTCTGAGTTATTTTTCTTTAATTTCAGTCACATCTTGAGCAGTGAATAAGTCATCAAAATCAGTCAGGAGACCAGGATTCAGGCTGTGTTTATTACCTTTGAGATATAGGAGAAAGTTGTCTGTTCCATTTATTTGTTGCTGTATAATAAGCCATCCCATAAGCTTATGGCTGAAAACAACAACAGCGCATAATACCTTATTAACTGAGTGGCCCTTCTGCTCTGCTCTTCTGTTGGCAGAAGGCCCTTCATGCAGCAGCGTTTGCCTGGGAGATTTGCCTTCATGTAGCCTCCCAATCCATGGATCTCCTCTTGTGTCCTTCTCTCTCTACTGGATAGCTTGCATACCTCTTCTGGGTGCCAAGAGAAGTCCCACAGTGCAAAGGCCTCACCTTCCTAAGCTGTAAAAATCGAGAAAAGTAACTGTCCTTGTTACTTCTGTAGAGTGTTGTGAGTCCCAAATGAGGTTCTACATTAAATTATAAATCTGCTTTATCAGAGTTCTTTGAGTAATACAGACCTATTAGCTTATGCAAGACATTTTTACGAGGAACCCAAGGGATCCAAACCAGAAGTGGATGTTGCATAGAATCTGAGATTACTTTTTTGGGGCAAGTGGTCTCCAACCACCAAGTCTCTCTATACATGGCCTTAATTTTCTCTTTTTGGCTTTTTCTGTTTGTTTGTATGTAGGAAAATATTTCTGTTCTTAAAATGACACTCAGCCGTCAAACCAACTAACGTCTAAGAGCCCCTGTAATCAATGGAGACTGAGTAGCTGTCAAAAAGAACTGAAGAGTGAGTCTGGTTGAGGTTCCTATAAAAAGACTTACTGGCCTAGCCTAGCCAATGGCCTCTCTTGGTCATCTATAGTGCTCTGTAGGTCCATTCCCCTAGGTGGACCAGTGTGAGCATGAGGGTTTGGACTTGGCAGATAACCCAGACGTTGTCTCTGATCAACATTGCACGAATATAAGTTAATGGCTGCCAAGTTTTTGGTGCAGTGAAGGAATGGTCCTCTGTGTTCAGCCCCTGTTTGTATGTCCTTTCCCTCCTTGTATCACTTGCCTTTCTTTGGCCCCTAAACTGGAGGCTGACAGACAGTGAGCACACCTGTGATACAGGATATTTTAGAAGAAGGAGGGGATGGAGAGTAGAGTGAACTGGAGAAAGTATAAAAAAGGAAAGAAGGGCAGTAAAAGTCTCTTCTCTCTATCTAGTAATCCTTGAATCATTTTTTTGCTTTGATGCATAACAGATTTGGCTCTGAGAAAGGGAGGGGAAGGAAGTAAGGGAAGATCTTTCTGAGGCCCTCTGTTGCTCTTGCTTTCCCTCCACAGTCCTCTCTGTGTTACTCTATGCTCAGCTCCTCGCCCTTGAGCATCCATCTTTCTATTCTCATCTTCCTTTCGGCCTCTGTGCTCCCGGATGCCTCATTTCCTTATCTCCCTATCCCTCTTGAAACTCTTTCTCAGGGTCAGATTGGCCAGAAAGAGCTGTCTGTGTTCCTGGTGTGCATAGAACTGAGCTAATGTTTTAGAGATGTTTTCCCATAGGGGCATCTTATCTTCGGGGTGTAAAGAATAAGGGGAATAAAATGTCTGTTCTTAAACTCCTCTTCACTCTTGTTTCCCTCCTGCTGATTCTCTACATATTAATGCATGAATTTTGTTCTTGCCTAGTGAGATGTGAACATAAATTTATTTGAACAGATATCATTGACAGTCTTAAAATGGCGTGAGTGAACCATGCCACTGTTCCTGATTGTCACTGAACTCTGAGCTCTGAGAAATGTAACGGGCTCTCATGACTTAGGAACTGTACCACTTTGCTAGGGCTGCCATAGCAGATCCATAGGCTGGGTGACTTAGACAACTTTTCTCAAATTCTAAAAGTCAGAAGTTGGAGGTCAGCGTGTTGGCAGAATTGATTTCTTCAGAGGCCTCTCTCCTTGGCTTGAAGGTGGTTTCGTTTTCCCATCTTCCTTTGGTCTTCCATCTGTAACTGTGTCTCTAAATTTCCTCATCTTTTAATGATACCAATCGTATTGGATTAAAGTCAACTCTAAGGAACCCATTTAAATGTAATTACCCTTTAAAGACTATCTCCAAATACAGCCACATTCTGAGAGACTGAGGGTTACGACTTGCAAACATTAATTTTGATGGTTCGGCCCCTAATAGGAACTTATGTTCACTGACATGCTTATTGTAAATCATCCCAAAGAGAATCTCCTGTAGTCTACATGGCACAAAGGAAGACTAGTCCTGAATAGTTGCATAATGTCCTTGGTCAGTGTACATCATCTATG